TTTTTCCCCCTGTACTGGGGATCAAACTCAGGACCTTGTACTTCCCAGGCAGGCATGGCGCCACTGAGCTATATCCAAGGCTCTCAAACAAATAATTGAACAAAATGAGCAAAAAAGCAGTGGGAAAGTTTATTTGAGAAAGTAAAAGTGAAAAGTTGGAGAGAAACTGCCTCTGCAGAGTGAGCTTGGGCTGAGTAAAGTGAAAAAGAGGGTAAGAACAAAGATAAAAGTACATGCTGCATTCATGGAAAGTTACAATAGCAAAACCTTCCTGGCCTCGATGTGTCCTTTTTTGCTGTCTAAATCTGGAGGAAACTAGCCAGAACTTCTACATCCAGCTCCTGAGAGGTGGTGCTTGGATCCCACACCTCAAACTGACCTTAGGTCTAGCCTAACCTATTAAAACCTGTTGAGGGCCAGGGATTTAGTTCAGTGGTTTCTGCCGCCTGCTGCCTAGCACAAGGAGCCGAGTTAGATCCCTGGTACCAAAACAAAAAGAACAACAACAAAAAAACAAAGAAAAACAACCTGTTGAGTTCTTCCAGGAAGTCCACGTGCAGGGCTCTGGGGACTGTTCTGTGCAAGTGTCCAGGATCTTGTAATTAATAGGTCACACCTACTTCCCCAGGCAGTTTTTGCCATACCCTAATCTCCTATCTCATTGCTACTGGGCTTTCCAGCCTCCAAAAGTGTAAGGAATAAATGTCTATACTTTATGCATTACCCCAAATCAAAAGCAAAATTACAGATAAAAAATTCCAGTGGTCACATTAAAAAAAATGACAGAATTGAAATAACTTGTGATTTTGACTTTATAATTATGACACTATCCTTGCTTATTTGGAATCTACTATCCAGTATTTAAATGCAGAAATATGCAAAACCTAGGCAGCTCAACTTCCTTTACGAGTCTATTATCTGGCAGAACATAAACAACTGAGCCCAAGCCTGTCAGGAAGGGTCAACTCTATAATTAATTCTCTGAATTAACTTCAGTTTAAACACAATGCTTGCTGAGGATAAGTAATTAAAATGTGTTCCTTTGGAAGGTATATACATATTATTAAAATTCCACAATAACGATAGTAATCCCTTAGAACTTAGACCAGCCATGGCAAACCTTTTAGAGACTAAGTGCCCAAAGTGCAACCCAAAGTCCACTTATTTATCACAAAGTGCCAACACTGCAATTAAACTTGAATACTGAGGTTTTAGGGTTTAAAATACCTCACTCCAAGCTTTCCTTGACTTGAGGGTTTGTGTTGAGAAGTCTGCTGTGATTCTGATGGGCTTTCTTTATAGCTGATTTGTTTCTTTTCTCTAACAGCTTTTAATATTCTGTCCTTGTGTTGAATTTCTGGAATCTTGAGTATTATGTGCCTTGATGTAGATTTTTTTTGATCATGGCTAATTGGAGTTCTTTGTGCCCCACTTATCTATATGTCAAATTCTTTTTCCCTCCTTGGAACATTTTCTGCCATTACTTCTGTGAACAGGTTTTTTATGTCATTTGTGCTATCTCCTGCTTTTTCACTGACTTGAGTCAATCTTATGTTATTCTTTTTTGCATCAATTAGGAGCTGTTAGACTGATTTTTCATAGTCCCTTGCTATTTTAAACAAGATCTTTTTAGGGTTGGGGATTTAGTTCAGTGGTTTTGCCACCTGCTGTGCAAGCACAAGGACCCGAGTTTGATCCCCAGTACCAAAAAAAAAAAAAATTAAACATTAAAAAAGATCTTTCTTTTCATGATCACTAACTAAAATTCTGTTTTCTATATCTGATATTTTGTACTCACATTGGCTCATTCTGCTGCATATACTTTCAATGGAATTTTTAATCTCCTGGATACCTGTTTCAAGGATTCCATTTCTTTCCTACTTTGGGTGTTCATGGTTTCCATCATTTTCCTAAGCTCTTTTTTTTTTTTTAATCTGTATCTGCTCTAGAGTCATTAATCATGTCTTTCATTATGGTCACCATCTCTGTAGTTATCTGAGAAACTATTTCTGATTTAATTTTTTCTAGAACCTCATTCATCTGCTTTGTTACTCTGCTATTACCACTTCATAGAGTCTAGTGGATGGCTTTCAGATTGTTCTGCCTCATTGCCCCCTGGGTTTGCCTTTGGTAAGCTGGAAGTTTGGAAGTTTTATATCTTGCTTAAGTGTCTTCTCATTGTCTTTCTTTTCTTTTAGTTTAATTCC